ATCTTAAGTTATGCGTTTATGTGATTTAAACCTGCAAATTATGTAGGGTGGTCATCGGAGGTTCCAGGAAAACTACGAACCTTACTTACATGTAGGTATGTAGCGGAGCTACTTACAGATTTCAAACTTTTATATTGTAAAGGAGATGGAAACTGATGGGCCCAAAATGTAATGAGTTCAAAATTGATTTAAAAAATTACTTTATTTTTTTTGTATGAAATACCAAAAATCTGCATAAATTCTCAATATATAAGCGGAGAAATATGCAAATAACTGTTTTTATAAAGCAATCGATTAACGATTAATTAAATAAAAAATAATTATTCGATTATTTAACTACAAAATAAAAACTTCACTCCTAGTTTTAAACTTATAGTAACTTGATTTAAACTACACCATATATGTCTACAATTCAATAAAAATAACTTTTAATAACGTGTTTTTATATAATAATAATATTTAATATTATTTTAAAACATCCTTTTCGATTATCGATTCCATATCGATCGAAATCATTCAGTATATAGTCTATGGCAACATGATATTGACACTTAAAAATTAGCATGCCAGATGCATTGTTATCTGAGTGAGTAGTGACTTGTTTCGTGTTATTCGATGCGTTTCGAGTGTTTTCCCGATCATTTTACGTTTTCAACGACCACTGCTTTGTTTTTTACGGACTCCGAACCCGCCTAACGTTTTACGACCCTTGCTTTCACATTGGACACCGACGATCGCCTGCACGTTTGACTTGGAATTGTTAATTTGGATTATTTCGCCGGCTTGTGGATTTGATATTACTGAAACGATGGATCGCTGTGTGAATTGTGGAATAGCAACTAGTAACATTGTACCCCCTGCACAGTTCCTAGACGATATTTTAATTATTATTGAAGAGGAATAAAATATTCCATTAAAATTATTTGTTTTATTTTATGACTTTTATCACATAGTTCACTCCTGTTCCTCGTAAAATTCCATACTTGTTACCGATATCTGTATGTCTTTGAGTCTTTCTTGCCTTGTTATAACTTATCAGATATTCTCTTCTAAATAAAATTATTATTTTTCACATTCTTTTAAGTGTATTCATTCATCTAACTCTTAAAGATAATGCAGTATAACCTCACTTTTACCTAACTTCCAATAACTCAGCTATCTGATTGTCAATTTCTATAGAATATTCAATGAAGGAACTCTTAATTTTCAACCTTTTAATTAATACTATTTTCATGTCTTTACATTGAGGGCAGTCCCCTCTTCCCCACTGGGCACTATGGGCACGTGCCCAGGGCCCCGCGATCGAATGGGGCCCCCTAGTTTCTTCCAGATTACCAAATGATAACCGATATTTAGGTATTACCGAAAAACATTCATTTTGAAAAATCGGATGATAATGACTTACTACAATACCTACGCTTATTATATTAGCTTTAGTTTGCCGCATGCGGATAGCTATTCCTTGTACAACATAGCTTGAACTTTTTGACAGATGGGTCAGTGATGGAAAACAGAAAATATCTATTGGTGTAAAAAATGTGTTGGCTAAATATGTGGCTGTATGTATGTTTTAAACTATTCAAAATAAATAAATTCATTCGTCAATCTATTTTATTGCACTAGACATAAAAACATTTTTTTCAGTTTTTGTTTTCAGTTTTTCTATTTAAATTTTACTTCGAAGCAATAAAACCCACTTAAGACTTTCGGAAAATGCTTGAGTCCTTAACAGGTACTTTTATGTTGTGTGTCTATTCTTATGATTATTATCAATTTTTAATATTATTAAAATAAGAAAATATTGTTCGTCGTTGCAAAGTTATATCGATTTCAGATTTGACATCCGTCAAAAAGAAAGATCAAACTAATAAATAAACAGGGTATAAGTACTCCACTCCAAAAATGAGTTTTTCCGATATTAGTATATTACATATTGAATCTGACTACAAGGATCTATCTCAAAGAACAAGACGTAGAAGCTCACGGCTGGAATTTTTTGATGGCTCTGCGCTATCAGTCCAATTGAATGGAAAAGAGCGATTCAACGTAGAAACCTTTCTCCCAAAAATCGATACTTTGAGTGTTCATCTAAAACAGCGACAAAGTTCATATGAGACCGTCAGTCAACGTTTTAGTTTATTTTTTCACTTAAAAGCTCTGAATTCCGAAAAGATACGACAAGGATGCAAAGAATTTTCTCAAATCTATCACGAAGATGTAAATGAAAAAGAGTTAGAAATAGAATGTCAACATTTAAAAGAATACTTAAAAAATGTTCAGAGTGAAAATGAAGCATCTAACAGTGTACAGGAAGTATATAATCTATTAAAGCAAAACAAAATTGAAGACACATTTCCTAACGTAGAAATTGCATTGAGAATATTTTGAAGTATGATGGTAACTAACTGCAGCGGAGAACGCTCCTTCTCCAAGTTGAAACGAATAAAAACTGAATTAAGAAGTACAATGCTTCAAGAGAGATTAACTAGTTTGTCGCTGATGTCCATAGAATGTGACATTCTCAATACCATAGATTTTGAAGATGTGATTATAGTTAGTAACTAAATAAAAATAAATTTAGAACCTTGTTTGTCTTTCTTTATCTATTGTAACTAAATAGTGTTTTCTCAAGGTCATAGGGGCCCCATGATCCTAATGTGCCCAGGGCCTCAAATAGTTTAAAGACGGCATTGATTGAGGGCCCAGAATTGTATGCAATACTTTCGATCTCCTTTAAATTTATATTCATTTCTATATTTGTTGAATAATTGTTCAAAATATATTTCATATTTTTATTTCTTGCGACGGCATACTTCTTATTAAATTGTATATACCTAGCGAGGATGCGCGCTGCGTCTATTGTTCGCGTCGTCCGGGCCCGCGCACCTGTAGCCCCGCTGGCCCCCGTTAGCCGCCGCTGGCCAGCTGAGCGGGCACTGCGCCGGGCTCGTCAGTCCTCAAAGACTTTAGCTGTGTAATGCTTGTCCGTCATCGCTACGGCGACACTAGCATGCGAACCCTCGCTTACGAAAAATAATCTCATTCTGTATTAATAGCTTTTAAGTAGTTTAAATTGCTAAACCTTGCTTAATTCGCTAAATGAATATTATAACAAGAATTACATTTTAAAACTTATACCTAAGACTACATGATTGCCCCGAAGTTAGGATAGCAATGCCATTCCATTGCTTGTGTGGTATCAGGAATCTTCTGGTTCACACGGCTTGGTGTTCGTTCCGCGGAGTCAGCAGCGTCACTCGTTATACGATATTTTGTCTATACAACGATGTTGCCCCGGCGATGTTCATTTATTTTTTTTGTATATATCTAATGCTTACGTAAATCGTAACATGCATTTAATTATTATCGACTCTCGTTAACTTTGTTGAAATTAGTTATAAGTAATCTTTATTCCTTTAAAACAATTTGAATAAAGATATTAAAGTTAAAGTGTTAGGTTAATTTCGTTACATTTGAGAATATTCCAACCATCAAGCAGTTGTAATGTCCATTAGCAATATCTGCGGTACGTGGTTGGATTCGCAAGATGCGGATTTAAGATCTTGTCAAAATTTACTTTTGTAATAGAATTCTGTACATTTTTATTTTATACCTCAAAATTATTTGCTCATCCTATTCGACATAATTACATATTATAACATTGATTCATAATTAATTATTATTGGCTTCATTTTTAACAACAAATAAACGTATTTTGAATTCAGAATTGATAGAAATATTAATTGTCTAACGAATATTGAACCTCTTTCTTCATCTTTGTATCATAATTATAGTCATTCTAAATATTATTTTACTTATTTTAATTAAAATAATATTGGAAACTTTCTGGTTAATAAAATGCACTTCCTTTTAATAATTTATTTATAATAAAACATTGATAACCGCATACACTACGCTTAGATTAACAAGACAAACTGCTTTGTAATAATCCTTATTAATAATTATATATCAACACTAATATCGATGCCTTACTAATAATTTTATGTTTAACAATATTTTTTATAGTCATATCATGCGCTAATTATCTTCAGAGTTTTTAATAGTTTAAGAATACATAGGGAATTTTCGTATTAGATATATAAAATAACACTGATATTAAGATTCAGGCGAAAGCAATTATCCGACTTTCAGATATTAAAGATATTTTTGTTGAATACCTAAACAGAAGGTACTTATGATTGCAAAGTACAAATTAATTTATGTGGTTACTCCTAAATTATCATTAAACATCAATTTTATTCAATATTTTTCTCATCTTCATTGTAATTTAAATCCTGAAATATTTTTTTAGTAGGTAAGAATAAAATGTTCTATCCGTTTTTGTGCAAAGATTAGTTACTATTAATTCTCTATTGTAGATATTTGTTATGTCATTACATACAAGATAAAAAACATTATTTTGTTTCCAATTATTATTACGAATAAATTTTAGGATTACAATATTACTAGATACTAACACTAACAACTAGGTATATAATTAATAAATAACCCTTCAAAATCATGCATTTATACTACGGCACAGCCAAAATTTTTCATAAAACCCGCTTATGTGTAAAAACTTATATTGATAGTATTACTACAAAGTGCGAAATATTGTGTAGTTAAAATTATCTCTCCATTAATCAATATATGTTTAAAAGAATTTTATTATATTATATTTGAATTCCTATAAATATATATTAATATATGTGTATTATAAATAAAAACCGAGAATTCGGTTAAGAGCTACCAGAACTACGATTTTTATTATTGTAAAATATTTAAATCACAGACTGTTTTGGCTTAAATATGTTTGAAATTTGATTGTGTTCACTATTTCATAACATTATTATAGCTAGGGCATATATCTGAAATAACGAGTTAGAAGAACTTTTACCGCTTCAATTGCAAACCGTATAAGTAGCACGCTTAACCTATAGAATAGAATGGTTAATGAATACGTTGTATATTTGAATAAATATTCCAGGTAAGTTATTAGTTTAGGAATCTCCGCTGTCCACAGGCAAAAACTGTTGCTGCGCCACAGAAGAGAGCACCATATCTATGGGTTTTGTATCATCGTACAAGGAAGGTGCTTCACATAAAATAGCGAATGTACCAACTATGGAAGCAATGGTGAAAATCCATAGGAACAATCTATCAAGCACCATAGCAACAAAACCCCAGTCCTGATCTTCCTGTTGGCAAAAATAAATATATGTATAATATATTAAGGAAAATAAAATTTATTATAAGGTAAATTTTATTATACTATTAAAAAGAAACTAATATTTTCGGATTACTACGCTTTATATTATTATTTTTAAAATTAACACTCCCGAAGCCTCTCGTCTGCCAGAAATCACGACTGATACAAAGTTACCGAAACGTCAAAAGTATGTAATTTTTAAAATGAATAAAATAAAGCGTAGTAATCCGAAATATTTTCATTTAAATGAATACTCGTAAAAGTCTTAGATCTCATTTAACTATTAATCTATTTTCTCTTTATTTTACGCTTACCGCATTGAATTCGTCCTGACGCTGCATGTGATGCTGTATAAACATGACGTTGTGGATAGCTTTCTCCAATTCAAATGGGTACTTCTTTTTGGGAGTCACATCGCTCAATGAGTCATCAAGTCCGGACATAACCGAAGGCAAGCCATTGTATCCTGCTCCAAGATTACCAAGCGCACCGACAAGACCACTAAATCTATTGAAAATAAATATAAAATATTATTTCAATTACATAATATTCATTTTATTAACTTCTTACCAAACAGAAAAGATATAAATTAAAAAGAAATTAACATAAAAAATATTAAAAAAAAAAACTAAAGTTTACCATAATATTTAACTTGGCTAAAAAAGTTGAATGATGTATTTTAAGTTTTGTACAAATATATAATCTTTATAGATGAATAAATGAATATGTGCCATAGCAAATTTATTCCAAAAATATAATACTCGTACATTAAATTCAAGTATCCGTTGTTCTTTTAAGTACTATCATTTAAAAGTTCTTTGTTATTTAATATTATAACTGATAATTTTGTGTGACAATTCAACATGCCAATGATAGACAATATAACAAAATATGTAGTGAAATGATTAGATTCTTTACCTATTAGTAGCGGTTGTTGTATGTAGTCCATTGCAGCCTCCTGGTAGGTGATGACGTAAGGAGTCAGGACTCGAAGCATTAGAATTATTCTGTTCAGCTGCAGCTAAAGCATCTTTAAACTTATTCTTCATGCTTCTCCCGGCTATCTTTTGTGCAGCCAAATCTCTAAGCAAATCCTTCGGTACTCTCATCAAAAGCAACTTCGGCAACTTCGTTATAAAGAACTTTCTCACCCAAGGTTGCATTTTATGGGTGCTAGGTTTACGGTAATGAACGTTTAATATTATAATCGTTATAACTACTGAGAGACCCACCAACAACATAGTGAATAAAAGATACTTCCCGAGCAGAGGCAGGGCGAGGGATGTTGATGGAATAATCTCAGATATTAAAAGGAAGAACATAGTTTGAGAAAGGAGTATTGATATACTTAAAGCAATTTTTTCACCGGAATCCGCAGGCAAATAAAAAACAAGGACGGAAAGATAAGATATTCCGACACATGGTACTATAAGATTGACGGTGTAGAATAAAGTTTTCCTTCGTAGAGTTATATTGAAGAAAATATCTGGAACAAAATATTAATAGCTATCAAGCAATATAATGGTTGAAATTTAATTCTTCCTACTTTTGTTTCTTATCAAGTTCAAAGGAGCTATTAAGTCGTGATAACAAATTTTCAGTTATGCTATTAAAGTTAATTAAATGACATTTATATCTTTCTAATTTGTCGTTAGTTTTATAAACTAATTCGAACTAAAGTGTACAAGTGTAGTGTAAACCAAAGTATAATGTAATCTGCACCTCATAAATATAATATCGATAAATCTTTTAAAATTGATTTTATTCAAATAAAAAAGAGTTAAAAAATATTTTTACAAACCGTGAGAATATCTTTTATAAAGTAACAAAAACAACATATATTTCTTAAACTGAACACTCGGCATTACAACAAATCCTCAAAAACACGGCTGTTTCCTAATCTTACCACAAAGGCCCGTAAATACCCCACCGCGACGACAACGCTTATCTATGTTAAATTATTGCGTTTAACCGTAACAGGTAGGTTTAATCTGAGACTGAAGCGTCGGTATTATAAAGCATTACATTCCAATAAGAAAACATATTTGACGTCGTCTTGAAATCATTCCGTCAATTTAGAATACAGATTTACTTAAAAATTTGATTTACTATAACGCTAAAAATGTACCTACGCTTAAAAGGTTATACGATTATTATTATGAAGAAAATTTTTAATAGAATTTGCGAAAAATTGTTTGAGCAAAATTATTTTTTAATTTCAATACATAACATTTTCGAAATATTTTTTTACATACCAGGGTACGGTTCTTGGCAGCAAGGATAATAACGTTCATGTCTTTCAGCTGGTACTCCAAGGATGTCCCACTCCACAGAAGGATAGTATTCTCTGAGGTCTATGCCCACCTCCACCATATCACCCTTCTTTTGATTAATATGCTTTAAATCAATCTAGAAACGATAATCATTAGATATTAAACATAATATTTCTATTTTATATTGATTTTATGACAATTATATATGGAACTAGCTTTCCGCTTGTAGCTTCGCCCGCGTGGAGTTCGGTTATATCGCGTTTCCAAGAGAACCTTTCAAAAGTCTGGGATAAAAACTATCCTATGTTCTTTCTCAAGGTCAACTGTATGTCTGTACCAAATTTCATTAAAAATCAGTTCAGTGGTTTAGGCGTGAAAGCGTAACAGACAAACAGACAGAGTTACTTTCGCATTTATAATATTAGTAGGGATTCTATATGTAATATACCTGATCTCCATCATAACTCCAGGAACCAAATTTAAGAAAACAAGTTTGTTGATCGAATGGAAAATAACGGACATCTATTTCGCAGGACGATTTGAAGATGGCTGGTGGTGTCCAAAGTACTTTACCAGTGTGATGAAGAACCGCTTTCGTCATTGTTGTAACGACATATTCTCCGTCAGCACTAAGAATACAAATTATCTAATAATTAAAATTATTGATTAACTAGAATACAATATTAAATCAATGTTTGCTTATAATAATTGGATAGTAGACAGAGATTCACTTTAACTATTGGTTATCGGTTAATCTTAAAGAATAAGTGATAAAGAAAGCAAGGATATCTTGGAAAATGAACAAACGTTGTGATTTTTGTATCAAAGTCACTTCTAGGAATAAACTAAGATGGTAAGAGATATGCTTCTCCTTATAAATTGTCGAAAATATCAACATGTATATTGGTGAAACAATTTTTTTAACATGAAAACGTTTAAAAACACTTAGAGATAAAAGTACATAGCAATAACCAACTTCCTTACTTGTTATTACATTGCTATGTAGCAATACAAATATTTCTAGTATATAATAAGTCTATTGAAAGTTAAAAAAAATCATATGGTTTTAATCAGTGGCGTGCACAGCATAGATGCAAATAAGCACTGCATACCCTACCCATATAACAACTAAAACTATATTGTTTAATTTTTACTTACGTACTTTTAACCATACATTACGAAATACAAATAAATGTCATTTAATATGACATTTGATTCACGACTTGCTAATAAGTGCCATCTAACAATGTAAATACGAAATATTTTCTATTGGCCGCTGACAACTGCTAGCGCCGCTATGCAGCCATAACGGCGGTATGCACAACAACTCTCTGCTTACAAAAATTCTCAAGGACGATCTACAACTCTCGTGTATACTATGTATACAGGAAATAGTCTAAGATCCCACTGCAGGATTGGTGAGTTCATCGGTTATTTGTTTGAAACCACATTTTTATGTTTATTTACAATTAGGAGAACATATATTTACTAGGTTGCCTATCAAAATTTGGCCGCCATTAATTTTAATTAAATTCTTTTTAAAAAAAATTTGGGAAAACTTCCGTTTATTTATTTCTTAAATTAGAAAACCTATACAAGATAGTAATTTATATGAAGATTCTAAAAATTCACGGTTGCCATTGTGCACCTAGCCGCAACTCTTCACAGCCAGGGTGTGGAATTTATCTAATAGTGAAACCGGTGAAATATTATAAAAAGATGTTTTTTAATTATCAATTATATAATTATTGACATATGTAATATAATTATTGACATATTAAACTGAATGTAAAATATGTTTCATCAAATAAGCATCTCGGTGAAGGTCGCTTTATATCGGGATCTTAGACTATAATGTTTAAAAAGTCGTAGAAAATCCGTTAATTGTCAAACGAAATGGGACTCTCTGATTGGTCGGTAAACTGTTCAAATATTATTGTCGCCATTTTATTGTTATTGAATATTGTCAATTGTCTTTCTCAACGCATGTGAATAAGTTTTAATTAGTAAACAGTGGATTAAATTATTAACGAATTATAGAAAATATAATTGTGAGCTCTGTGCATGTGATGTATGTTTATCGTAATGAAATACAAGTAGATGTTCGTTCGTAGTATCGTTTGATAACAAAATTAAAATAAGTGTAAAGGGAAGGTGTGTGACCAGTTGAGATTGAACTAAAAGAAAGGTAATGTTATTCGTTTTAATAAAAAGTATTATGATAGTTTTAAATAGATAGCAGGTTGTGTACACACAAATAAGTTATTTTGTTTGTCTTGTTTGTTGTTTTCAAATTATATTTAAATAACTTTTATAAAGCTTTGATGAACAGATCGTAATCGTCTTAAAGTACTTTCGTGGCTCAGAGGTACCTAGTTGAGAGATTCATAAAGTTATTTATAGATGTTCGTTTTGATTAGACTGCTGTAACATTAGGCGCGAATTTTAGCTATGTTTAAATGAAACTAATATGTTATGATTGCTTCTCGTATTTTATAATGTTTAAAAACTACATACTCCCGACGCTTCGATTTCGATTTTCGAATTCGAATTTGGAATCACGGCAGACATCGCGTGACGCGTCATCGAAAATATAAGTTTCATTTAAATGAATATTTGCGAAAGGTCCCATTATTATCAATGTTTTAGAGGGAAATTATGAAAATTGGTAATTTTTTTCATACTTATTCGGCTTACACTACCCGAACAACTACATCTCTGTGCACGCCGCTGGTTTTAATCATATTGTCTTCGTAATGTGAAAATTAGTAAACATGACTGAATAACATCGTAACACACTTTCGAGGGACATTAAACATAATTTTGCTTATTCATTAAATCATAAGTTTATTAGGTATACAATTATAATATTTAACTCTATTTTGATGAAATATTTACAATTTTTTAATAGGTATTGAGTTTTTAAAATTTATAACTTTGCTATGATACGTAAAAATATTTTGAGCTGACTCGTTTAAATTGTCTCTTTGAGTTTATTTTCTACAACGAAGTATATACAGTTAAAACATCTTAAATCCAACCATCCATCCAATAAATCCAGCTATTTGAAAATACGTATACGACTTAGAGGAATCTGTACCAAATATATTGCTGTATAAACGTCGAAAATCACACGCAAGTAAATGGGCAGACATCTGTTTGGGAATATAAGACCAGAAGTAACATTATTAAGCGGTAAATAAAATATAAGACTGTCAAATTGGTTGCTTTATCAAAATTTATTCAAATTCACAACCATTTCTTATCTTGAATATTTGATATTTCAGTTTGATTGGAGGGAAATTGAACCTTATTTTAATACATTTATTAATTTAAAGGAGAAACAAGCGAAATATTGTTTGATCGTAATATTTGTATTGCCACTTAGCTATTAATCTAATTAATTATAGTGGTTTTGTGGCCCAAGAGTTACTTAATAATTAATATGTATTAAAAAATAAGATTTTTCCTCTACAAAATCGTCGTATCCTAAGAAAAAGTTACGTTGTGTTTTTTGAAGCAATTTGCAGTTATTAAGAAATACAAAAAAGCAATAGTGTTTTGAATAATGTTATGGTAAATATGAGAAATATCAAAGACATTAATTATTTTTATCACTAACTGTTTGATAATATTTATTAAACTATCGGATAAAAAACAATGTAAGTAATAAATGAAACTGTACTAAATATTTTAAAAGGCTTTAGGAGGCACATAATTAATACACAAAAAATATTTCTTTTAAAATTTCAATCTTTATCTTTACTTTCATAAAGGTAGGAATTTTTAGTATTTCCTAAAAAAAAATTGGAAATATACATATTATTTTTTTATAGTTTGAGAAATAATATCTGTTAAGCTATCAAGATTTAGATGATAGATACCAGGAAGAATTGACAAATATAAATAATAGTTTTAATAAATTTACCGAAATATAAAGAAATAGGTTGTTAATTTATTAGGCCTCGGTAGAAATAACAATTGCAAATAAGTTGCTGCCTTTTACAGCTTGTACCAATCTCAAAGCAGTAAAGCATAAGATCGGCCGCACGTGCGTTCGTTCTGTACATGATTAATGGTTTGTTGGTTTGTTTTGACACAAGTGATGTATTCACCAAATCTTTATTGGTATTTCGCCAATTAATTAACTTATATGCTCAGATACTGTATATTTGGAAATTTTATCAATAAAATCAATTCTCGTTTAGTTCAAAACTTGATATTATAGTTCCGAATATATGTATTAGCTATATATTAAATACAAGTAGTGTAATGTGATTTCTGGAAACAGAATTTTAAATGCCTTGTAAGTTAATGGTTACATTCTACTATTTAATTCTTAGTAAGTATATAATAGAAATATTTCGATAGTATTGTTTCGTTTTGTTGGTACGATTCTTTTGGATGTCCGACTATGATTTATTGGACAAACATCGTTCAATCTTGTATCTTGTTGTTAGATTCCATCTGACATAACTTTTTTTCGATAACAATAATTTCAGTTAGATAAATATAGAAAGCAAACATAACAAAATCAGAGATCATGTCTAAATACTAGAAGCTTAATATGACACATGAAATATACATCGTAATCACAAACAAGAGCAAATATATATTTTTTTAAATATTTACTTTAAACAGTTGTTTAACCGAGATTTAAAGATAGTTAAAATGTTTACGATAATTATTTTCGAAAATATGTATACATATATCGTGTTTATAATTTTAATTCAAGAAATCTAGTTCTACACATATTTGATGTAATAAAATATTTCTTTCATTTAAGTATGTATAAATATTTTCTTAAGTAATGAACAATATTTCTCCTAGTTTTGATTTAAAATATTTTAAGAACATCCCTATTAAAAATAAAATTATGAACAATAAAATGAAAGAATACTTTAAGAAATCTGTGAGATAAAAAAGAATTCATATATCGAAATAATCTGCAAATAACAAGATCCCAAAAGGAACGCCCTCGACCATAAATATAGTAAAATGCTAAGGGCTTTTTGTATCCACTTACTTGTTATATAAAACGATATCTGGAAGCCAAATGTGCTCTGAAGGAACATAAAGTTCCTTAACCCCACCGTACTCGAGAGGGTCCCATTTAAATTTGTGGTCTTCCCATTCCTAAAAAGACACCAGTGTGAATTGATCTGCTTATGTCAACAATTCGGTATTGAGGAATAATAAGAACATAAAAAAATTAACACCGAAAATATTGGAGTGTGAAATTTAATATGATTTGTGTTTAGTCATGGAAAGTTATGAAAAGAATCTTGTTTCAATTAAGTCTTCACTTACATGTTCCAGCCAGACGTTGGTTGTCAGAATTTGATCTTTCAAATTCTGAAACAAAAATGTTTGCTTTTATATATCGGAATTACAAAATCGTAGAAAATACTCGGTGAAAATATAAGTCTTTATTTCAAAAAGTCGGAGTTAGGTTTTACAGGCGTCTGGTTTAGCCAATCGATTGACAGTCAATTTTGGGATATTGCCAAGAAACCTTGCTACAAAAAACGTATCAATATCCAATAGAAATAAGGAAGCAAAAATCGTGTAGAATCTTTGCTTTTGATAAGTTCGTTGCTATAGAAATGTAATTTTCGCCTTCAATAAAAACATGTTATGTATTTAATTCATTTCTATTTACATAAAACTCGTAGTGATTTTTAATATAATAATATCTTCATAAGTAATTACGTCATAAAACTAATTAAAAAATTAATACAGTTAGTAAAAGTACAGATTCATAAAAAAATATTATGTATCTAAATTATGTTGAAATATCTTATTACAAAGTAACCTTTATTTAAATAGTCGCGTAAAGTAACGGCCATCAGCCAGTAAATAATAAAGCTGTTTAATATGTATGACACAAGCAAGGTACAGTAAATATTTTGTATCCCTCTTTATAAAGCCTCTTTGTGTCCCATAGTTAGCATTCCTGGTGGTAACAGTTGAGGAGTTACGTGAGGAATCTGCACCTCAAGTTATAATGTAATTTTGTATTTAAATATATCCCTTTTATGTTACACTAAAGCTTTGTTCATATTTTTACTTTGTTTTTAGGGATAAGTAAATTAAGACTTTACTTACATATACTTAATAGATATTATTTTAAATCAAATATGACTTAAATACTTCCAATGTTACTCTTTCATTGCGTTGATAGATATTATATTAATGTGAATTGTTTTGTTATAGACTTTTTAGTTGAAATATAGTAAGGTGGAGATCAAATTTTTCATACATTTCTGTGAATGGAGATACATGAGTTTAGTCTGTTAATTTTTTTATACACGTTAAATAAATATTTTGCGATTAAATCATTTGTTAAATAGCGCCTTAAAAACGTCTTATATAAAATTATGAGTATCTTTAGCGTTCCATAAATCGTCAAGCGAAAAAGTGTCTAATGTTGAACATTAATCCATCATACCATCCATCCTTACACGTGGTAATACATACATACATACTAGGGGCGATATAACTACTGTCTTAGTCATGGTTGGACAATTAATTAAGAGAAGAGAATCAGGTGACGATAAAGGAAAACGATTTGCCCAATTAAATTGCTACAATATAAGCGATGAAGTTACTTAAAAAAAAATCATATATTTTCTTACTACAGATGTTAAAGATGTTCTAGATTGATTTCTTTGAGTACTTTTTATTTGAGTTTTTGATTTTGTTGCAACGAAATTCTTTAGGCTACAAGGATACTAAATAATGTAGCTTTTAACTTCTTTTTTTCAATTTCTATTTCAGCTTCAGCTTTTTTGAATTTTTATATGTTTTTTATAAAAATTATTTTTTTTTATAGTTTAAGATATTTCATATGATATGAAAATAGTTTCTGTGTAATAAATATTCAGTATCGGGACGAAATTTTGGCATTCAATGGATTCACCGTGCGGGTGTCGGGTCCATCGCGTTGCAGGGAGAGCAGTTTCAACAGTACCTGGGACTTGCGATCCAGGTGTATGTTTAAGGGGACCCTATCTAACGCGCATTAAACGCTCACAAATTTGAATGGAACCTATTAGGGCTACCTATAGAGTTAATAGAGTATTTGTTTTTGAAAGAAAATTCGTAAGCGAATTCCTATAAAAGTACGACTCATGTATACATACTACAATATTTAAGTAATTTCATAATTAAAATAATTGATAGCTGTTACAAAATTATCATTTCTTAATTCGTGACCGGTTTTAAACAATTTTCAGAGGTTTTGTCGACAGGAAAATAGTTTTTTCAGTTTGTTACAGGGTACATTAAAATTATAATAAGCAATCAACTAATAATTTAGAACTATAGAATGTTTTTTATGTTTGAATGTTTGGAATTTAATGTAAATCTATTGTAAATCAAATACAATAAACAAATATTGTTTATAATTCTCAGTCAAAATGCTATATTTTTCCAATGCTTATGATAAAATTACGTGTAAAATTAAATCCTAATGACATCGTAAGAAAAAAAGTAATAGTAAGACAATATAATTGTAAAGAAGTCGTGAGAAAAATCAAGTTTTTACCAAAATTAAATAACAACTAAATTAAGATATATTTATAAAAATAAGCATTGATCCAAGCTATTATTAAAAGTAAAAAGTAAACTTACCAGGTCAATGAGTTGAGAAAGCCGGAGACCAAGTTTTACCAGTACCGTATTGTTATTTTTATCGACTGGTCTAATAAGTCTATTGTAATTACTCAACAAATCGTCATACAGCCTCTTAGCATCGGGGTTAGCATAACAAACACTGCACACAGTCAATAATATTAAAATTGAAAATGCTGACATCTCGTAATATAAAGTTTTGGATTATTTACAATACTTCGAGTTTATTCGATTAGACTATGAAAGATGAACTGATTTTATTAAATAAGATAACAACGATTCATGAATTTTACGTAGATTTTTGTCTTAAATTTTATGATATTTGACAGCTACGCCCGCCGTGCATCAGCGAAAGTGGCGCCTCTACTGGCATATTAGAGAACCATTTTGTAGTCTTTTGCGCACGCTCGAAAGTAAATTTTATAGGGGGAAATAAAATAGGCTACGACTCTTTTTATAACCAATACAAACCTATTTTATAATAATGGACTATGGAAGATACTGTAACTTTAAACGTTATTGTTATTAATGTGAAAATACCTATAATAATTCAATTCAATGACTGTATTTATGAAACAGTAAAAAGGATTATAAAAACACTTTAGTCATACGGTATATTGTTAAAAATGTGTAAGTTATTTTCCAGTGTATTTATTATACCTATATATTATTATTTCTAACTATGTATTTCGGAATCCTAAAGTTTTTGTGGATGTTATGTCAGCCATATTTTTAAGCAAATACATTATTTACATGCCGGTTTTGGATCGATGTTTTACGCTTGCGCGTTGCTTCATTCATTACTTCAAGTAGTGCGTTACGCAACGTAATAGATGGCGCTAGGAGTCTTAATGGGCAATAATTGTGACTAAGCCTTTCTAGGCAGGATAGAGCAACTTTGAAAACAATTTCTATTAGATACTTCTTGCTGTTGATAACGCTTTAATGAAGAATTTATTTAAATAAATACGTTTGGATGTGTGTGTGAGTTTGTTCATAAGGGTCTTCATTATTCTCTGTATATATTCAAAGACATCTTTATCCTTAATAATTCTATATAAAAAGGGAAACGAAATAGTTAATATATTACTTGTTACATACGTTGTGCTGTGCGTGAAGTATATTAACAGATCAAGTTATTATCAGGTTAAAGCTAACAAGCCGACATTAAAGAAACCACCCGCCCTCAAAATTGGGAATTTTATAGTTTACTATAAAAGTACGAAGAGAATGAGAAACTTAAGTCCCTTTTCCCGATCGGAGTAGCAAAAGGTTTGACGGTAATGCGAACATAAAACGAGAGGGTTCTGCAAACTTAAACGAAAAAGTTTTGGCCTTTTTTCAAATCTCGAAATGTCGTTATTTTTTTCTTTTAATTCAAATTCTTATATTGACCCTAGTCTGTTTCATGGACTTCAAAGTTTTATTTTGAACAAATTCAACTAACTTGTTATTAATAATTATTTTGTAAGAGAGGAACGGTTGAACCAAAACCATGAAAAGTATCACGATTATGTCTTAGTTTCAGCTTTAATAGTTCACCTTATTTTAGGGAGGAATATATATTTTTTTTATTGTAGCACATTTAATTCCCACCAACTGCAATGCAGTTAGCAAATACACCTTTAATTCCGTAACCCTCGAGAATTAGTATTAATTGCGGCGCAATCAAATTGAGATAAATTGCCTTAAGCTGCTGCAGTGAAGTTAATGAATCTTATTTCTCTAAAAGTAGTTGTGAATTATTAATAAATTTATGAAACTACGATCACTATTTATAACTTTAATTAAGTTAGAAGTTACGAGTAGCTATAAAAATGTATAGAAAGGACAAAAAAATATATCAAAATGTATTCATTATTACATATCTAAACTATTACTCATTAAGTAATAGTTTAGATAATACGTAATTATTAATATATATAAATATAACTATGTTATACAAAAGTACTGCAATCAAACCATAATCATGGCGTATATTACAATAAAACCAGTAGCTCTCAAACTATACATAGTGAGACAAAAGTTTATTCTGTAAATGTAGAGAAATGAGTGTTGTAGCTTCGCATTTAGTTCATCCCGGCGGGAGCTTGCTCTTTGTTTGCTTTAATGAACGACGTTTCCCAAATTTTATTTTTTTTCCTATTTGCCTATTAAATTAATATATTTTTGTTTGTCTGTATTTTGTTTCTGTTTTCTCTTAGGATCTGTAATACTTATGTAATAATCTATATACAGGTATTCTTAAAAGAGTCTGATAGATAATATTGTTTAATGTTATCATTACATTATCTATATCAGTCAAGATGGTTAAAAGAAATCTTCCTAAGACTTGAGTTCTTGAGTGTACTTGTGAAAAACCATTGACTTAAAATCATGAATCTAAAACAATCAACATCTTGAAATCTTAAAAGCTCTAAGGATTCTTAAGACGGAGGAGACAACAAATTATAAATTTGATTCTTAAAAATAATATGAAACTATCACTTTAAAAACCCTTCCTTTGTAAGATTTGTTTGTTTTATTTCTCTAATTAAAAATAATCCCATTGTGTCTACCACAATGGAGCTGTACGTCTGTGTGCATTGAGCGTGAAATCAAGGGCTATCTATTCTTTGCGACGATAAGATGCGAATAATTATCCTATCTAAATGTTTTAAAAATAAAAAGCAAACAAATTTTTCCTTTAGAAATATAACACTTATGCACATATGCAGTTTCATGAGATGTTAATAGAATGTATATCAAAGTAAATAGAAGTCTCTGATGAAAAATATAGAATGTATCAAGTTTCGAATATTGATAAATTTACTACAACATTTTTCATATTGCCAATATTCCAAGAGTTTTCTCAAAGGTTATGATATATGTATTGTCTCCATATTTATTGCAGAACATTGAGTTATGCAAGATTTAATATGTCACTGTATTGGTTAATCTTATTCGCATATTGTTTGAGCAAATATTGACGATAAATATTATTGCAATATATTATAACAAATCGACTTGTTTAGTTTCAGCTTTATAATTATTACTAAACATGAAATCTTCGTAGGTTTATCAATATTACTCCTGTAGTATTATTAATACAAAAGAAATTAGATTAAACCACGTACATTTAGTTAGATATAATGTATAAAAGTGGATGTATTAACTCGTAAGGTACAGCCCCTTCAAGTCGTGACAAGGGTGTACCATTTATCATAATATCAAGATGTCGAGCTTCAGCTAACTCTTATTAGTTTTCTGGAACACTGTTTTATTCAGGAACAAGTTCTAATAAACGGTCAAATCGATGTTTAAGACACCGGATCTCTATTATTATTGTAATGATGTAACTGAAATAAACTTATTGAATATGACAAGATTTTATTCATCTCAGTTGTTTAATGCACTACTTCTAATTTTTATGACGGTAGCAATGCCTTTCAATGCCTTTCGTTCAAGCCGTAATACTGCATGTTAATTAAATGTGTGAAGCGGTATCCTTGTACTTTTTCTTAGAATATCTTTTTCTCATTAAAATCTTAAATTCCTTAATTCGTCTGTTAACATTTTGATTTTAAATATATATCAAAAAGAATTCATGAAATTATAAAATAATCGAGTATAGCTAGTTTTTTTTAGTATTGTATACTAAATCTGTTTTTAATTAATCGCTTCCTATTTCTCTCTCTCCCATCTGGATAAAACATATTGTTTTTATTAAGGTGTGATAAGTTAATGAAATATTATTTTAAGTTATAATTTTAAAGAAAACTTTCAAAAGGTTAAAGGTTTCTATTTTAGTAAAATAAGACGGCCAATTAAAGAGTAAAAATTGACTGTTGATTGAGCTGTACTATAAATTTTAAATTTTTTTTATACAATTTTTTTTGGCTTTAGTTTCAATGATCTGTTTAAATAAATGATATTATAAAAAAATGTTAACTAAACAATTTTATTACGCATACTCGTGTGTTAAGTACGGATGGTTTAAATCTTTATATAAAGATAAGCTATAACTTTCGAATTATCCCCTAAGAGTTGTTTATATATTTTTTTAAGATTTTGTATCAATTGTGACTCTCCAACATTTGTTTTAAAAGAAACGATCTTAACACTGTCATTATTTTTAAACTGAAGCATATTCCATTGAGAATTTATTTTATCTTTTATATAAAATTCATTTTTCCCTTTACCTTATTAGTTATTTCTATGTTTGTTTTTATAACAATTATTCTAAATCAAATAATTTCAACTAAAATCCGTTTAATCTTTTCCTCATTAAAATCATAAATATATATAAATCATCGTCAGAACCTCGGGGTTCTTTGTCCGACCAACAGGGCATGTGCAATTGTATTCTCTTCTGATAATACACGGTAGGAGGACACATAAAATATTTTAAAAGTTTATAACATTCACACCCTTACTGCCTTGTGATAAGATCTATATCGGTGTACACCAATGTTATGGAGTTAAACGGAGCCGCAATGCAGGCGACGTATTTAAAACTGGTATGCAAGCCTGAAACTGATTTATGCTAAGGTCCTAAATTTATTAGAGTCCAGATTTACATCAATTAACAGACTATGAGATTCATGCTTTAATTATAAGTTTGCCTAAAAACTTTATTAACTCGTGTGTATAGCAAAGTGACGGTTATTTCATCAACTTATTTAACGTGCTTTAGGTTTAACGAACTTTTGTAACTAAAATTTTAATTAATATTAAATGTATGAGAGTAGTCATACATGATGTGGAACAGATATTCCGTAAATTTTATTATAATATCACATTATTTCGAACAAGGAATCGCAATATGTTCTTTCAAATATCAAAGGTATATAAATGGGATCTTTCAATAGCTTTTATTGTAACTTCAACGACACAATTCCGATTTCCTTATAATAAGTCGATATGAAATACTCTTTAATATTAACTAACTGGAAACGTCTATCGGTTCCTGCAATCGGTATTAATTTCTAACTTGAGGTTTAAGGGTGTCCACTTACGAGCGACGCCTCGTACTTGTTTTTTGTTTTCAATCATTTTATTTGCATTATTTTGTTCTGAACGAATATTATAAAAATATATAGAATCTTTAACTTTATTTCTATTAAAAGTGTGATAGTTATAATTTTTGTTATTCATTTTAAAGCCTCGTTACATTTAAAATTAACAGAACATTAGATGTTAAA